TGATAGGGCTGAGCGTTATGGAGAAAAATCGAATATCCCAATGTATTTACACAACTACCTTGACGTAATTGACCTTATCATTACTGTTTTATTATTTGCCTTTACCAACTCAGCCATTATGTCCACATTACTCACTATCTCATTGTTTAATACGCTACAATATTGATAACACATTACTGCATTGTAGCCTTTAAAACACGAAAAGTGAGCACTTTACTATACTATCTGGCTACTAACTTGTTAAATAACGTATATGAAATGATCTATGCAAATAGGAATGGGATAGGACAATATAAGATTTAATTGTGATTAACTTGTGTAAGTTAATAAGTTTATTTTTCACTAAAAAGGGATTATCACTAACAACAATGATCGTGGCATGCTACCATTTAAAGTGGACCTATCATGCTATATTTGAATAATATAGTGTAGGACCATACCTATATAAGGCATATTTATACTTTTTTTTTTCAAAATACCAAACAGATCATGCATTTTAGCCATGCCTCATTTTGCTCAATTTGACATTTTTTAGCTCTGTTTTTGCAAGGGCAGATTCAGTGAGAACAACACCATCTACAGGCCTGGCATATGTACTACAGCGTCTCCAGCGCTTTCGAACGGCAATGGCCGTGGCTGTCTCCTCCTGATTGGTGGAGTTGGCCCAATAGCCGTAGCGCCACCGTCCTGACGTCAGGACAGTGTTCAAATCTGGATCAGTTTTTATCAGATCCGTTGCAGCCCCTTTTTTAGAGATTTGGGTATGGAGGAAAATAGAGAGGGTTGTGTTTTCTGACACTTGGTGAGTTCCCTGGAACACCGGGGACACATATTCATGTATAAAAGACGTACAAAAGTGCATTTTGCATGATAGGTCCCCTTTAAGGAGATTTAAGCATATTTGGATTATTGGGATGATGTTGTGAACCAACCAATACTTTAGGCCAGGACACTAGTGATATAACATTTTCATATTATACTGTGCCTGCAAAGGAAGTTTAATTGATAGAAAGTAGTGTTAATTGCAACACCAATGCAGGCTCTCAAAGAAGACATTCCTGCCAATATATTTTTCTAATGCCGACAGAAAAAATATGATCATGTTGCCTTGTTGTATTTGAGTAACAGGTGCTAAACCACCCCATTGCATTATGGTCAAAACCACCCTTTAAAGGGAGAGTTTCATCACCATTATGGTATGGGAAAGTTGTCTGTGTTTCATATCATAAAGTCACAATTTGAATATGTTTCCCAGTCATGATTATCACTTGGATGTTGTAAATGTTATTTAAAAGTCAGACACTGATCATTAAGGAAACTCCAATTGAACTTTAAAGTGGATTTTCGCTGCGGTACAAAAAGTAATTTGGAATATCATATAACATACTTCTTAAAATGCAAACGTAGTCATTAAAAATGTGTGGCTTGTTTCTTCTTTGATGAGGGATTTTAGGGTTTTCCTCTCAAGATATGCTACAATGTTATGTATTTATGTACCTTATGGTGTCTGTTATATTTGTGATAGCTTCTGCAGGGTAAATGTGACAACAAAGTTAAGTATCGTGAAGATTTTTCATATATAAAACAACGCAGCACATAAAACAGCATTTTTGTGTAGAGAGTATGATAGCAATAATGTTTGCTCAGTGCTGTTCTCTGTTATAAATGAGTTACATACCTGTTCAGCCATCTGGCACATTTCCTATCTTTGGCTTATCTGGTTTTGTAAGTATGTCAGCCAGCACACACTCTAGTTCTCAGGGGAAAAACGCACAAACTTCATATCAAACTTGTGAACCAGAATTCCTAAGCGTTGAATTATAAATAGCGAGAAAATTGTGCACACACACTTTGGCATCATAAGTAGAGCTAATGAAAATTCAATATTTGCTTTAGGTAAAAAAAAAATCCCCATCCAACCAAGCATTTAGTAGAATAATCAAATGTTTATTTTCATATGAAATGTCTGTTATCAATTCACCCACACAGCAGATCTACTTGATATTTGTTCAGCACTAATCATAGAGCAGTGGAGTCTTTAATCTCCAAACAAGACACGTTTGTGTTAGAAAAGCCTCCCGCCCCCTCACTCTCCACTTCCATAATCCCTTCTTTAATATCTCACGTTGCCACTGGCATTCACCTCCTTCAAAATGGAGGGTCGGATTACTAATGTCAGGAATGTAATGGAGGGACATGATTGAACATGTCACTTTGGTGTTTGCATTTAGTGGCCTAACGTGTTTGGTGACGCGTAATGGGGTGCCATCACTACTCGCTTCTCCAAAGCAGAGCGAGCCAAGGGAGGCTCAACGGGATCCAAAGCTGGTACCGACTCCAAAGGGTCTGTGAAAGCGGATCAAACGCTCTCCATTCTGTGAAGCCGCTGCCCAGCTGACAAATCATCTTCGCAGTTGCAAAAGAATTACAACGTTTGTCTTCTTATGAGAGAAAATACTGAGTAAGCTCTGCAAGCTGAAGCTCTGTTTTGGCCCTGTGGTAGAATTCAGGCTTGTGTGTATGTCGGGGATACGAGCAGAGTTAAAAAGCATTAAACTGAAGCTCAGGCAAAGCAAACAGCAACCATCAGCATTAACCTCATAACTGCCCGTATGCACTGAGCTCTCTTTGTCCTGTCACTAGAGTATAGTCTTTGATAGAGTTTATGCTTCTCAGCAGCAATTATCGCGTGGACTCTTCTGACAAACTGTTGTTTAACAGGCATCAGAAAGTTGACAAATTAGTCAAGTAAAAATGCAGCCCTGGCAGAGAAACAACAGAAAGGCTGACAAAAGAGGAAACAACCCAACAAAGGCTTCACTGTGAAGGGAGGCAAAAAGAGAACAGCAGAGCAAGCTAAACACCACTTCTTAGAAAATAAAAGGGTCCGCAATAATAATTTTAGCTCTTTGTCAAAGTGGCAGGTGGAGTATCGGCATTTCTTTGCAGTTGGCTGGTGTTAATATACCAGTCCGAGACACGCAGAACCCCCAACATGTAGCCACAAGCCCGGCCTCCACAGTATTTAGACCACGCTGCGCTTGAGGTCTGAACATGTCTGTGTGATTGATGAGAGCTGCCACCTTCACAACCTCCATGCAGGTTGCACTACACTTAAGGTCCTTACACACCAAGCCGATTTTCGGCGTCGATAGATGTCGATAGATGTCTGGCCGTCGATGAGCGTCCTGTCGCCCTACTCAGATTGGTGTGTCCCGCCCCGTCGTGTCTTTTCGGCCGGGCTAAAGGCCGTCGGCCAAAGAAATCACTCTGATTGGCTGTTCAGCTAGCGAATCAGTGCATGAGAAGCGAAACGGAAGTGAGGGACCCAAACAAACTATTAAGAAGGCAAATCTGAGATTTCATTAAACTCCAGCTCTCGACACAGGTTCGGGAAAGCCCCATGAGCTTCTCGCTGTAGAGTGAAAATGGAACGCACATGCTATTTGTTTGTTTATATCACGCAGTCTGTTCTTCTTCTCTCGGTGTATCACGCAGTCTGTCTTCCGGTTGTTGCCTCTTTTGAATGACGAGTACACACTACCGCCGCCTGCTGGTAAGGAGAGTTATTGCCACTCACGCATGCGCAGTTCGTACGTGCTTCTTGGCCGTCGGCTGAAGTCTTTGCGGCGTGTTCCAGTGCGACTCTTGGCCAAGGAGTCGTGTTCTTTGGTGTCAGTTTGGTGTGTAGGCCCCTTAATACTCACTGCCCACTCCACTGTTAGCACGAAGAACTTTTTACAAGCACTTTTTAGCCACACAGTGAGGTCTGCTTCTAAAGGCCTAGTTCATGAATACAAACAAAAAGCAAGCAAGTTCCTGCAATAGATTATTCTAAAAATGAGGATTACAATTTTGTATTATTATCAAATGCTTATTTACTCAATTATTTGTCTTTTTAAAAGTCAAATATTAGCAAAAACACCCGTGACAACTTGTCAGAGCACAACATGACATCCACAAATTGCATTAAATAGTTGCACGCCAAATTAGATAATGTAACAAAATAAGAAAAGGTTAATTAAACAAAGACATTAAATAATTATTAAATAAAACTCAATATAAATTCATTATAACGTAGATAAAAAAACATTTTCAAGGCTTCAACCAACAACAATTGTTTAATAATTAATCAATTTGTTATTTTCAATTACTTGATAAGCTATTTGATGAAAATGAAAATGTTGTATAATGTTCCCAGAGGCTATTGTTGCATCCCTTGTTCCATTGCGTGTGTTAAAATGCTTACAGCTGTAAAACACTATACATTAATTAATATTTTTAAGCCTCCAGGCCACTTGACTCAATGTTCATTTGAAAGATAAATGTCTCACTTGCTGCTGGTGACTCTAAATAAAGAAGAAAAAAAACTCAGCACGCAAACTCGACAGCTGTCTGTTCCTATTTGAGTCACTTGAGTTTATCTTTTAAAATGATCAGCAAACCACTGAATTGTGGGTCATATTCTGAACCAAAGATGGTAAATATAACAAACAAGGAAGTCCTTGTGTGTGTGCATGGAGAAGGCTGCTGGACAAAGGCTGCGTTCTTCACCAAACCCACACGTTGGATCTCCTCTTGCTCAGAGTTTCCATGGCTGCCGCCCTTCTTTGAGACATTTTGGTATCCGCTGCTTTTAATACTCCCCGGCTTCCCTCTCCTTCATTAGAAGAGATTTGTACTGTAAAAACTGTGACGTCATGAGAGTGGACTTTTCCAGAGGCGGGTGTTTCCCTTCACGTGGGAGTGGTCTCGCTGAAAGGAGGAACTGTCCATTCAATGTGGCTCTGTTCAACGTTTTATCCCGAAATCCCTGCTACACATTTGAAATGTCATGCAGAGACTCACCTATAGACAGGATATGTCTGTGCCTCTTTAGATTCAAGCTCTGAAGAAACATACATTGACTGAGTGTAAGTCATATTGAACTGCTCCGCTCTTAACTGACGTCTTAATTCATGTTTTTCTAATCATCTTTTTCATTTATTTTTTCCCTTCAGTTTTGGGAAGCGATCAGCAGGCAGCCTGCGACGTGGATGTGAGTGCATCGTCCTGGAACCCTCAGAGATGATTGTGGTGAGTCCCATTATTCACACTTTTAGCACCTAAGTGTCAAAAACGCTTAATAGAACAGTCATTTTTATTTGTATCCAGGCTTTTCACACCCAAATGATAATTACCTATCATTTTATAAACCACATCCAAACGCCTCTTTCGTATTTTTGAAAGCAAAGTGTTCCTTGCTGCCTTTACAATGTCATATGGAACTTTATATTTAAAGAAGTACATTGCATTTACCTGTCATCTAAAACCCTTATTCTGGCTTTAATGTAACCCAGCAGTTGTCTCTGATGTTATCACACTGAATAATTATTGATTTTGAATTCCTTCTTGTGTTAAGAATGAGCTGTACCCATGTGCATCATGGTAGACCCTGTGATGTTCTGTACAAAGTGCCTCCTATTGACATTTCATCGCAGCCTTAAAGCACAGCTGAATCTAACTGCCTTTAATGGAGACCAGCTCCAGCGCTGACCCAGTTTTATGGCGAATCAAATGTTGGCTCACATTGGAAGTTATCTAGAACAAATCATTCCCGTCTCAATCATCTGTTCAGCAGAACAGTCCGAGGCCGGCACATCACGACAGATGCAGCTCTGATGTGGAGTTGGTGCTAAAGGGCAGCAGCACGCTACAGACAAAATCATCTTTGTGCAAATTCAAAACAGCTGTTGTGCTGCGAGAAAATGAATCTAAAGTATACTAACTGTTTATAAGATGACACACTAAGTCAGATGGTGAAACAATTACAAATGCAGGCTAAAAACGGACAGGAGAGCAGCTTTAGAGAGTTTAATCTGAAGGATCAGAGTTTTATTTCAAGAAGTTTCCCTTTTTCCATCAGGAAACCTTCTTCAGTTATTTTAACTTACTTTTAGTGCAGAATACTACTGGTATTTTTCCCTGTGATAGGATCATGTCACTTGGTAGGAAGGATTTTCAAATCCCAGGGACACCCATCCCATCAATCAATTCATTGCATACTGTCTCCGTCTTTCAACACTGTCGTAAATAAGGCACTGGTTGCCTCAAAAAATCTGTAAAAAAAAAGTCAGCAAATCGAGAAAATGCCCATCCCAATTTGCTAAAGCCTGTTTAGTCCAAACAACAATACTTGTTAGACGCTTTTATCCAAAGCGACTTTCATACTCAATACTGTGGACAATCCCCACAGGAGCAATTTGGGGTGAAGTGTCTTGCCCAGGGACACAACGACATGCTGACTGCAGTGGGGTTTGAAGCTGTGACCCCCTGATCCGAACACCAACACACTAAACCACTGCGCCACAGCCGACTCCAAACAACAGTAAAAACACCTAGAAATATTTAGTTTGAAATCACATAGGACAGCTAAAAGCAGCCAATCTTCAGAACAAATAAGCTACATTCAGATATATGATTATTGATAAAGTATGAACTGCTTGCTAACCTTTATACTATTTAAAATCATCCTCTTCCACACTTACAAACTGAATGGTTGAGAATGATCCTCAACAAATACACAGTATAAGCAGAATAAATATCATCTATTTGTGAACGCTTGCAATTATCATAACTTAAACAAATCCGATCCATCTTGAAAGAGGAACACAGAGGGATAACATAATGCCTATTTTGTTGCATACAAGGTGTGTTGAGGGGGCAGTGATCAAAGCTGTGCAAATGTTTTGACTACTTAAGCCAGAAAAACAACGCAAAATCTGGTACATCCAGCTAATTCGTGACACCATTTTCATTGCTAACGGACCCTTTTGCCAACGCTAAAGTGCTAATATGGATTCAGTTATTGCATGTTAAACTACCACCTGCATCACACACACATGCATCTTACTCTCCACAATTTATAGAACACACAAATACTCCGCCTTGCTATCTTTTTTCAAGACATAACGCTTGCTTGATAGTATATAATAACGACACCGCTGCAGCCACATCGCTTCCTGTAAATTGCTGTGTGTCTGTAGATGGGGGGGGGGGCTTGTGTTAACCTAGCCTGTATCAGACACTGTCAAACCCCCTCGGTAATAACACCCTCTGCTCCGCTCGCTGCAGACACTCTCTGGCCTTACCCCTTTTTCTATAATAGGTGCCAACCCGCCCTGTAATTACTGAGGAGGGTTTCTGCTGGGAAATAGACGCACAGAGCGGAAGATGCTGTTACAAACACCATCAAAGAGACGTCAAAAGAAAAATAAGCCAGTCACGTGTCCGTACTGTACACACACACACACACACACACACACACACACACACACACACACACACACACACACACACATACACATACACATACACACACACACACACGTGTCGTGAATGCACCCATTTCTGCCCACATTTGCAATTAGACACACAATCACACTTATGCGCTCACTCGCACTCGGCTCCCCTGCCGTTGTCATGGCAGCAGTTGGTACGGCAGCGGGAGATTTCGGTGGTGTAATCCCAAAGGCTGAGCGCTGTGAAATGTGAAGCCACAGTGAAAGCAGCGATTGAGAGCCAGAGGAGGAATGAGTCCCAAGAAGAAGGAAAAAAACTTAAATATGTCGTTCCAGCGTGACCCTAAATCCGCCCGGCAACAAAGTGGTCCCATTTATCCCGAAAATACTTTAGAAAACTGTTGAATATAACTTCACTGCCTGTTATGTTGAGGTATCCTAAGCTAGTTTCCACTTAGAACATGTTATTTTTGCCCCTTTTGATTCAATACAAATACAAACATGGTTTTTATCTTGTCATTTCATTGTGGATACTTTTAGCAGAGGCATGGGGAAAGTTGTCTTTTACTCCATCTCTGTTTATCACAGTCTTGTCAATCACTTAGATCCCCATCTCTCTTCCTCCCTCCGTCGGTCTTTTTGTGTTGTGAGCACCCTTTGACGTAGGTGTGCATCGAGCAGCCCACACACACTTCTATTTTTACGCAATGAGAGGAGCGGGAGGCAGGGAAGAGGAGGAGGAGGAGGAGGAAGAAGAGGTGGTGGGAGGAATCAGAGATGGAGTATAGGAGGGGTGGGGTTTCTCTAGGCTTTTGAGTGTGTGTTTTGAACGAGGAAGAGCGTGAATGAAAATGAAGACTCTCCCTTCCTCACTATCTTCTCCAGGTGGACTATATGGATGAAAATGAGGAGTACTTTCAGCGACAAGCCTCGCACAGACAGTCCCGTCGGCGCTTCCGGAAGATCAACCAGAAAGGGGAGCGGCAGACGATCATCGACACCGTGGATCCGTATCCCACCGGGAAGCCGCCCATAGCCCGGGGGTATCACACGGTGAGTTGCGCTTGTGTTCCCCCCCTCGCTGCAGAGGACCGCAGTGTGTTGCTCTAGTTCCTGTGTCAATCTCCGCTTCTGAGCCCGCTGTGCTTCAGATGGTAGCAGAATGTGTGTGTTCCCTGTTACAACAACTCTGTGTGTTCTCTGCTGGCCCCGAGCTGACCCGTGGTTGTTGTGTTTTGGTGTCTTGTGTCCCGGGGAAAAAGGGCCCCCCCTTGTCCCCCTCTGGGTGATGTCGAGCCTGTTTTCCTAGTCTTTGCTCTGAGCTGTTTCCCCTGTGGCGTTTAATTGTTGTTTTACCCATCCTATGCACAACTGAAGCTGCTACACCAATGCTGGTAGCTTCCGCTGGCTTCAGTGTGTCCATCTACGCTCCTGTGTTAAATGTGTGAAGTTATTCTGTGCTATAGCTGCTGTATGTGTGTGTCTTTGATCATGTTTGTTTGTGCTTCTGATGGTTGTCAGATTATTTTTAAAGATTTGTTTGAGCTTTGATGTTCAGCGTTTGCACCACAACACATACATGATGATATTACGTCGAGATCTTTCAGCAAATTCCAGCTGCAAATAGTTATAGTTCCTTGTATTTACAGGTAAACTGTGTCCTGGAGAATCTTTTTCTGAAATGAGTGTTGCCATTTGATGATCATTTAACTAAGAGAAGAGGAAGTACTGTAGTCAAATAGTTGTGATTTGTCATGGAGAGGCTTCCCACCTCGAGATTAGGAAAAAATACAGTACTTGGTGTTGGGGAATCATTTCGCCCTGCATGTCCTCCGTTGCCCTCTGACGCAGCTGACCAACCTTGATCAGCCGTTATCTCCCTTAAGGAGGGGCTGCCCTAGCATTTTGTTGATGTTGCCAGTTTGTGACCGGGCAACTGTCGGTCAGAGATAGTTATTGTTGTGGGACACCTGGAACACATCCTTCTCGGGGTGTATATGACCTCGAGCCATAAGCGACAACAAATGTGATTCAGTGTCCTCAGCTGTTTAGTCTAATCTATTGAAGAATGTTGATTATTACACTCTGAACTAGTTAAAACGTCGAGCTACAGGAGGGGTCTTCAGAATTGATTGTGGCATCTCAACCGTGTGGTCAACTCGTGGCCCGTGACATGTCTTGTGAATTCTCCGGCCGAAGCTCCAAATAAACCAGTCAGTGTTTGCCATCAAAGCTCCAGCTGTCCTCGTGTCTCTCTGAGTCCCGACTCCTATTGCTTCAGAAGTTTCCCCCACACTTGGTGATTTCATTGTTGTCTTTTTTCATAAAAACAACGTAGAAAGTAAAAATGGAGGAGGAAGAACAGAGATATGAGACAGAAACAACAATGTGGGAGTCTTGATAGTGCCTACTTTTACAAGTCTTACAGCTGTTCTATTCTTATAAGCCCTCATTTACATAACAGTAGAGCTTGTGTTCATATCAGACATCTGTGCCAGATGCCTGAAGCAGTTCTTATAATGCAACAAATCTTCTAATTAAATGCAGTTTCAGTATTTTAAAGGCTGGACAGATGACCAAACTCTTTATTTCTGAGGATAGTCGAAAACTGGAATATGGTTTGTAGTAGTTTTGACTAACTGTGAAAGGATTTGACTCCAGCAGAGGAGGAGTTACCAGGCTCTCCTCTTTCCTTTCTTTCCCTGGGAATAGGAAGCAAAACATGTTCACACTAATGATGCATATACCCAGCATGCAGTAGTTACACACAGTATTTCCTGCATTCTCCTCATTCCTGACGTTCCCGCGGGGGTTTCTGTCACTGTACCACTGTGAAACACTCGCGCTTAAAAAGGGAAAATGCGGCAAGAGTCATCCTCCCCTCAGCCCCACCCTGATTCCTAAATTTAGCCTCGCTGTGTTTTCGTTTCAAAGGACTGCACTGAACTTTCGCATGGCCCGACGTCTCCTCTCCTCGCTGTAGTACCGCTCCTGTGGGAAGGATGGAGCGGATGCCATGGCAACCAGCAATCCCAAATGGGCTGTGCTCGAGTGCACTTAGAAGTACAGTAAAGGGAAGGGAGCTAACTTAACAAGAGTGCAGCGCGCCGCTTCCTCTGCTGCTGACAGAGAAGCTGAATCTGGGCGGATGCTATAAGCTGACATAGCACGCTAATCGCCTGCATTCAGAATGCCAGGCACCGCTCAGTTTTTTCCTCCATCCTACCCCGAGGCGTATTTATGAGGTGAGAAATGCACCGAGGAGAAACTTGGGGATTGAAGGAAGGAGATCTCTCCGGCAGGCAAGGTTTTTATTCAGCTTAGTCACTCCTGTGAAGGGGAATGTGAGACGAGCTACGAAAAACACGCCACTGATCATGAGGTTTCAAAGCTCTTTAAATGTGAGAGAGACGGTGTAACTTAGGGCTGAGATGATTATTTGTATTAATAATCACTTTGATTTAGATTATTTGGTCTTCAAACTAGTGACATATGTCCATCCCAACTTTCCAGAGTCCAATAAATTGTGATTCATTTCTCTGTTAAAAATGTTAAGATATATAATGTGGGAAGAATATAAAAGTTATAATAATGGCAGATCCTCACATTTAAAAGTCTGGAACCAGTGATTGATAACTGACTTTTAATCACTTATCAAATTGTTATTTAAAGGGGACCTATCATGCAAAATGCACTTTTTGATGTCTTTTATACATAAATATGTGTCCCTGGTGTGTCAGAAAATAAAACCCTTTCTCTTTTCCTCCGTACCCAAATCTCTAAAAACTGGGGCTACAACGGAGTTGATCCAGATTTGCGTCGGTTATGACGTAATATCGGAAATGTGGACGCACGGCAATATCAGAAAGTTGCTATCAGAAACAATGCCCGACTGTTTTGGAGGTAATATGGTCGGTGCATGTTTACATTAGCATCGCTAACACTCAGAGCTAACCTGTACTGCACAGAGCATGTGTGTGAAGAAGCTGGAAATAAAAAGAAACTCACCTTGTGGTATAACCGGCAAGAGAGAAAGCCTTTGAGCTCCATACTGTTTCAGAAATAATCCTTGATAATCCATGATATGGCGTTTTCATCACCGCAGTATTTAGTTTAGACAGTAGCTGCCGAGTCCCGCATGAGCTCAGCCCCCTCCTTTTTCTTTTCCATCAATTTTTTTTTTTAGCTTTATACCCCAAATCAGCACTTTTGAAACAGGAAGTGAAATAGAGGGATATGAGGCATGGCTAGAATGGGTGATCTGTTTGGTATTTGGAGCAAAACACTTCCTAGACATGTTTTTTATATATTTGTATATATCTGAGACCTATGCTATTGCCTAAAAAATAGCATGATAGGTGACCTTTAATTTCTGCTGGTTAATATAATGCGGCAGACTCGTTATTAAGTCATTTTTTATCTCAAATGGTGGATTTGACTTTGTTACAGACAAGATGATGCTGGAAGAACATGATACTTTTCTGGTAGAAAGAGAATAAACAGTGATGGATGACGGTCTTTTATTCCAGTAAAACTATTCACACCCGGGCTCAAAACACTCTACTATACCAGTACAACTGTATTACAAAATACTACTATCCAGGAAAATATCTCCAAATGAAATGTACTAATGATGCTTCTGTAAGAGTTATATATTTTTATGTTTAATTATAACTGAAGCATTTATATATAGACAGCATTTTATTGTTAGTAGCTGTTAAAGTGGTTATAATTATACTTTTGGGTAGTGTATTCGGTAACAATGCTGCATATTTGATAAAGAGAGGTACTTGAGGGGATATGCTTTCACCACTTAACTATGCTGCATTTGAAGACTTTAATTACTAACATTCAGCGTTTTAATGACGTGATTAGAGCTTTACTGCAGTTATTCCTACCACTAAGTCAAAAGCCATTAAAGAGACATGCTAAATGGTTAGCTGTTTGACGATTATGTTGTTTCAGATGTGATTATTGTTATTGTAAAGAGTAAAACATTTTATTTAACGACTTAGTGCTGCTTCGTGAGTCGATGAGACATGACATACCAATGCCAAGCACTCATCCTCAGTAATGCATCAAACCCTGAAATAGCTTATGCTCTGAGTGGCCTTCATTGTTCGTGAGAGATTGTTCTTTAACGCCAAGGTCGTGGGTTTGATCCCCGTAGAGCGCGGAGTGTGTGTAAACAGCTGTGTGTCCTTGAGCAACACACACAGCATGCTCAGTCATTGTGAGTGGCTCTGGAGTACCAGCTTAACACCCTAAAATATAAATGTAATTGTAACCCAGCAAGGGAACTCCCACTGGGAGTACACACACACACACACACACACACACACACACACACACACACACACACATGCACATACACATACACATACACATACACATACACATACACATACACATACACATACACATACACATACACACACACACACACACACACACACACACACACACACACACTCCCTATTATCTGTATGAAGTGAGGATTATTGGGCTCTCCGGGTTCAAACATAATGCAAGTTATTTCTGGAACGTGTACATAATGAGTCTGGCCTTGAGTACTCCTCATGCAAATGAATGGCTTCATTTGGATCTGTTTTATAATTACTAACACTTGAAAGAGAATATAATGTATGTTAGATAAGGAGACAATCAGTCAGTCGACCAGTCTTGATTAATGTAGCAGCGTTTCATAACAGTTAGTTTAAGTAGCCTCACCATTAAAGGACATGCATAGTGATTTAGATGATATTAGCTGAGAGGTTAGGGAGGGCAATTTAATTCTATTTTTTTTTTTTTTTTTTAAGTATACCCCTAGGTCATCTGTTCATTTTGATGAATGAGAGCATGTCAGAGAAAATGTTCCTTTAATTTCCTTTTGTATTTATTCTATATTCATCTGTATGACAGTGTGCTCATGACAGCCACTTTCTAACAAAGCATGATGTCATTTTCACTATTAATATTGACTAAAATATCCATCCTGTCTATATAATGTATGGGTGACATAGAAGTGGTTGAGGGATAGTCCAATACAAATG